TTGATAGTAAGTGTAAGCAGGTGATTCCATCTACGTCTTCTGCTAAAGCATCCAGTCCATACATCTCAATTAATGTTTTTACTGTTCTAAAATGTCCACCTTTACATGCTGTATGAAGTAAACCACGTCCTCTATTATCCATTACAAAAACACCTTGAGGATAAATACTGGATAAATAACGAAACACATCAATAGGATAAGTGTTACAAGCTGGGTAAAATACAGTGCGCCCTTTATTATCAGTAGCTGTAAGGAGATTAAGAAGAGTAGAACTACCAGTGACTGAAGACAGTAAAGCTTCAGCAGTATCCTCATAATAAGAGGCAGCTGCTAAGTGTAATGGTGTCTGTCCTTTCTTGTTAGTAATTAACAAGTCATTGTTAGATAGACTGGCTTTTAGTAATAGTGATACTATATTTTGTTGTTCGTGAAGGCAGGCTAAATGTAATGGTGTATTACCATCTTTATCTTGTACATTAATAAGTACAGCATTATGTGGATTATTGTCAGGACCATCTAATAAACATTTTATGTTACGTAACCAGACAGCACTTATTGATGGTATTATACTCTTACTCAGTAAATATTCTAATATTTCATATTCATTAGCTGATACAGCAACATGTAGTGGTGTACAGCCTTGATAATCAGTTACATTAGGATTACAATAATTATTATCAATGAGATACTTTAATACATTCAAGTGACCCCTCATTACTGATATGTGAACTGCTCCAAACCCTACATCATCAGTAGCTGATAGATTACACTTCTTACTAATAAGATATTTAATAACTTTTAACTGATTGAAGTACACTGCAGTAAGGAATGGAGTGCGACCATTTCCTCTCAATCCTTGAAAAGGTAGTTCAAGTGATGATGGTAAGTGTTCTATAATGTACTGGGCCAAATTTAATCTTCCTTCGCTACATGCTAAGTGAATAGAAGCCATTCCCTCATCATTCACAGCATAGAGATCTAATTCATGATTTTCTACTAGATTTAGATTACCACCATAAGAATCTGAATGAGCTAGTGTGTACTTGTTATTGTTAGTGTGATTAGTAATATCCACACTATACTCTTGACTGTACCATTCCAGTATATGAGTATGACCATAGCCTGCTGCTCCATGTAATGCTGTTATACCATATTTATCAGTAGCTAAAGGATCAAGCTTATACTGTTGTATTAGCAATTGTACTAGATCAAGATTACCTGATAAACAGGCAAATGTGACACATGTCTGATCAAGTTTATCTTTAGAATTTACATCGCATTTCATATCATTTATTAGGAATAAGACCAACTGAATATTACCACTCTCACAGGCGTAATGCAAAACTGTTTTACCTTCATTATTTCTTTGCTTAAGAATATTGTCACTTTTGTTCTGTGACGTTAAATGTTCAATAATGTACAGTACCAATCCCTGCCTTCCTTTTAAACATGCTAAGTGAATAGGAGCCATTCCCTCATCATTCACAGCACACAGATCTAACTCATGATTCTCTACCAGATGTTTGAGTATAGGAAGAGAGTCACTGTACTCACAGGTAATGTGAAGAACTGTTGATCCATTAGAAGTCTTAGCTGCTACATTACATTGAGGAAGACTAGTGAGATAAAGTACAACAGGAACATGGCCTCCTTCACATGCTTTATGAAGAACTGTACTACCAGTATTAGTAGTAGTGGCATTAACATCACACTGATACTTGTTGATTAGTTCCTGTAGACAATGTAGCTTGCCTCCATAAGCAGCTAAATGAGATAGTGTGTACTTGTTATGGCTAGTGTGATTAGTAATATCCACACTATACTCCTGACTGTACCATTCCAGTATATGAGTATGACCAGCTTCTGCTGCTCCATGTAATGCTGTTAAACCATACTTATCAGGATTAAATGGCTCAAGCTTATACTGTTGTATTAGTAATTGTACTAGATCAAGATTACCTGATAAACAGGCAAAAGTGATACATGTACTGTCACGTGTATTCTTAGCATTGACATCACACTTCATATCATTTATTAGAAATGTGACCAATTGAATATTACCACTTTCACAGGCTAAATGCAATGGTACTTGACCCTCATTGTCAGTAGAGTGTAGTAAACTAATGTATTGAGGATACTGACTGGTGATATGCTTAATAAAGTGAGTGTGACCTTCAATGATGAAAAATGAATAACATTCCTACCTTTGTTATCTGTTAGGCTCAGACTACACTTGTGATCCTTCACATATAATTCCAGTAGTAAAATATCCCCAGATTCAGCAGCATAATGAATTGGTAGCTTACCATTACTGTCAGCTTGATGAGGATCTAACTGATAGGTAGTTATTAATTCTTTAACAAGAGATAAGTTAAGAGACAGTGAGGCATAATGTAAAGCAGTGAGGCCATTCTTAGTGACTGCAGTAGGAGACAAACTTTGTTCAGTAATAAGATTCTGAACTAAATCAAAGTTACTACTCAGTGCAGCATGATGTACTAACGTGCGTCCTTCATTATCTGTTTTATTAATATCACAATGCGGTACCTCAATGAGATATTGAGTGATATCAATATGACCATTACGACAAGAATGATGAAGACATGTCATACCATACTTATCAGTGATATTAGGATCGCTGTTATGATTATTAATAAGATATTTAACAGAATTAATACTACCTGACAAACAGGAGTAGACTAATGGTGTATGACCATAAGTATCAGTATCATTAGCATTGAGATTATACTGAGATATGATATAACTTAATACACTAGTAGAACCTGACCGGGCAGCATAATGTACTGGAGACCTACCATCATTAGTTAATGTACAATTGATATTATATTCTTCTAATGCTTTCACTAGTAATGTACTGCCACTCCATGATGCCCAATGAAGTAATGACCGACCATCATTTGTAGTGGCATTGATGTCAAAGTTAGGGCAAGTGCTAGCTTTCTTGAGAAGTGAAGAAAACATTTTAACTCTTTCATTTCGTTTGATAAAATCAATATTTGTTTTTATTCCAGTATTATTAATAATATCAATAACTGATGCATCACTTTGTGCCATAAGCTTACTATACACAATACCAACTGGAATATGTATAGCTACATAACATGCCCAATGTAAACATGACTTACCAGTATTATCATTAACTAATAATGCTTCATTACCTTGAATACTAACAATATACTCAACAACTGATGATGAAGCATACAATGAAGCAATATGAAGTGGAGTCCTACCATATCGATCCTTTACATCAATTGATAATTGATATTGATTTAAAAAATACTTAAAAAGCTCGACACTTCTATTATTAATAGAACGACAAGTATAATGTAGTATGCCTCGTCCTAAATTATTAACTGAATCTGGTGAGAAGAGGTTTAATGATTCAAGCTTGTGGACTAATGCTAACTCTCCACTTTTACAAGCTAACAATGATAAAGAGGCACTGATACAATTAATCTGAGAAGTATTACAATTTCTCTCAATAAAGAATTCCACTAGGTCACAATGGCCCCCCATTGCTGAGTACAGTAATGCAGTGTTATTGCTATTGTCTGGTTGATCAGGAGGAACGTCACACGTGTCTACTAGATATTGTACTATAGATAAGTGGCCTTTATAAGATGCCATATGTATACTAGATACACTATTATCATCACCTTCATTAGGATCAATACCATATTGATCGATGAGTATTTGAAGGATCTCAATGTGTCCACCATATGATGCAGAGTGTAATGGAGTCCAACCATGAAGACCACGATGATTTGTGCTGTAACCAAACTTGTCAAGAAGCCATTGTACTTCATCTTTTAATCCTCTCCAAGCTGCTTCATGTAATGGTGTACTGGTATTCTCATACCATAATGGATCACATATATCTATAAATGAAGAATATTATTAGTAATACAAGTTATGTATGGAGGGATTGACTAAAGGTCAGTTCATGTACTTACCAATATCAGTGGATGAGTGCTTAACCTCTTCTATTGAGAACTGTAAAATTAAGAATAATATTAAAATTTTTTATAAATTATAATCACAAACCTCTCTTAGATCATATTTATCTTCACCACATGTTAGCTCAGTGATACCAATACTAGCTAACTGTTGCTGTAGCTTTGTAGTTAGAGGAAATAATAAAGAATAAAGATACTCAGGAATGAGGTAACCCAAACAGAGAGAGCCATCATAGACGAAACTGAAGTAAAGGTCATATTCAGGAATATCCAAACCTTTTGGTATTGCTCTACGAAAGAAGAATATGTCGTCCAGTGTGTAGTCATCTCTGTCAACTTTAGCAATCATTACTCGTGTACCAGGAGGAACACCTTTTACACCAAACTGTACAGCATCAGCATCTTTCAATAGTCCACCACTGTTTATAAAATAATCCTTTAACTTCTCTTCATATGATGACCAAGTTCTTTTTAATGAACGATTTTTTGGTAGAAATACTCCCACAAGTTTTATCATTAGTTTATAGTTGAACCATGATATGTATTTGTCTTGTAGTACGGTGAATAATTCTGATAATTTTTGGATATTTTTAAACTCTTCTCTAACTGCTTCAGCAGTTGTTTGCTGTTTTTTGTTAGGACCAAGTAGTGACATTGTGTGTGTAATGAGGTAGTCAATGATTTCAGGTAGATCACTTGATTTGAATGACTTTTTTGTTATTCGAATGGCCTCATCAAATTCATCTTGTAGATCATATAACTTGCTAGTTAATTCAAAGCTCTTTTCAGAAGAACCATATTTGGAGGTACCTAAATTGATGAATAGTTAGCATTAATAGTTGTATTAAAAGGAGGCAATATTATTACCTGTTGCTCTGTCAGTGCTTGCTGGTGACATAGCTACATCATTCATTACAGGAGTGATACTTCTTTCTGAAAAAATTAAAATAGTTAAAAATAAAATAACAAAAAATACAAAAACAAATTATGTGCTGATTATGTGGGACGACATTCTAGGAAATTTATTGTGAGAAATCTCATATTGCATTTTCTTAATCAAATTTTTATGCAGCTAAAAAAGTAAATGAGTGAAGATATTCATTACTGGAATTTGTACATAATGATATTCATTGCTTGATAATGATACTCATGTACTATATCAGTAGTGTGGCTTTTACTATGCAAGCAGTTGGCTTAATACCAAAAAAGGAGACAATTTATTTTGGCTACACAACCATTTGATTGGGTCATTTGGGTGGTCATTTGGATTAAAGTCATTTGGGCGGACAGCAGGGAAGGGTACATTGTATAAAGTAGTTTTGTTCTGACAGCACCCATGTCACGTGGATAGTGATGTCATGAAGATGTCACATTTAAAAGACTGTGCCCAACACACATGTTTCTATGAAAGGGACGAAAGAAAGTATTGGAACATTAGATTACTTTGCTATACTTACACACCCAAAAGATCAGCTAGAAAGCAGTAAATTCTATGTGTTAGAGTGCAACAACAATGTAAGTCCTGATGCAGATATAATATGCTAATCTATGAGTTCCAAAGGTCAACATACAGTCAATGTATTACAAATTTGTCATTATCATTCTGTTTTATATATTTTGTTATATTCAAAATGTTTTATTAATAATTATACATTACAATAAGTAGAAAAAGAAAGTGAAAAGGTGCAATTCAATGACAAAAATACTATTTATATGAAACAATAATAAAATAAAACCAAAATTCTTGTTTTATGGCATCCAGACCAACTTTGTTGCATATCACCTAGATGCATTTCCCTAATATACTTCTTCACGATCAAAGAGACGCTTGGTACTATCATTCTATACCTTGTTTTTCAGCTCAAAACTTGCCATTTTGATAATCATTCAATGCAACTTGTGGTCACGTGTCAAGGATAACCGAATCTGATTGGCTACGTACAATTCTGGATGTAGGATAAGACATCTTAGGCCATTGTACCAGACCCTTCCCTACTGTCCATCCCAATGACTGTAGGCTAGGGAATGGTCTGGCTAGCGAGATTAGCTACCCAACCCAACCTACACTAACACATAATGTATTATCATAGATACTGTGACACTGACAGTGATACTATTCATGACAAAACTCAACTAATATATGTACCTTTTGAACTAGTTGATCCTGCAGGTCGCATAGCTGGTAGAGGATGTTCACGAGCTATTTCATCAGCTAATGCTGGATCACCTCCTCCTTCTCTAACAGCTACACACACTCTCCTCCAACAAGGAATACCATTAGTCTGGTAGTCATCATAATCTTTCTTTAACCAATGCTCTAGTACTTTCTGCAGGGACGAGATAGTGTTTCCATAAGAACTAGCTTCTATGGCGTTGATAGTGTCTATTCTTAAACGAAAAGAAATGGCTATAGATTTCCAATGAGCTGAGAGTAGCCTGACTTTATCATAAACAGGATAGAAATCTTTGATACCTATCATTAAAGCAAAAAAACTCCTCTTAGAAATCAAAATTTTTTTTGAAAATTTCATGTAAACTTCATTAATGTCAAATATACCCACAAACTCACTTAGTTCTTTATTGCAAACATTTATAAAAGGAGCAGAGGAAGAACTAGGGCTTCTACTTGTAGCCATTGTTTGTGGAATGTATACTCCCACGCAAAAGTTGGTTAACTAGGCGTGGCTCACAAGCTCAGTAAAACTCCGTAGTCTCTAGATCAATGAATAGTATACGGAGTAGACACGTGGTTTGTAATGGCGTTCCTTGTCCAGTGTACTTGCAGAAAGCTTCTCTCCCTCTCTTCATCTCTTAGTAGAACACCATCAAAGAATCAGCTCTTGACTTCCAGACTATCTCATTTATTAAATAAAGGAGTGAGGACCCTACACACTGGAGTAAGGACATAATGTAATGTGTCTAATGTACCACTCCTCAGTGTAATCCGGTAATTAATTGGGTTAAAATTTGATTTAAAATTTAATCAACTGTCTACTGTATATGCCAAAAATTTTTAGGGAATTAAAATATAATTTAGCAAATTAGACATAAGGTGGGAATTAAAAATTAAGTGAATTTTTATGTATAATTGTTTTTGATTATGAATATTAAATTAAAGGCAGTGGCTATTTTTACGGGCCCGTAATCCGACCGTGGGTGGCTATTTTTACGGCAGGATGATTTATCTATGGATTTACTCATTTTAAAACCTGGGAAACACTCTAAAATAAAAAAAACTAAACCCTAAACCAACCTTGGGGACTCCTAACATACCAGGGGGCTCATGAAATGACTGGGGACGCTCTAAAAAAAACCGCCACCCTAACCCCTAAACCCTAAAAACAATAGCTAAGTAGGGGACTCCTAACATAACTAGGGCTCCTAACATAATTAGGGAACATAGCGAAGTAGAAAGATAAAAAAAATCAATTTGTGTAAAGTCAAAGCTGAATTCGAACCAGTGCCCGTCCGTATCCAACCCAGCGCCTTCCCCACTGTGCCACCACGATCCTGCTGCCTTATTGATGCTGATTGTCATCTTTATACGTCACTTCATTTCTATATTCCCTGCCGTAAAAATAGCTGTATACAATGAGATTACGGGACCGTAAAAATAGCCACTACGTAAATTAAATGGAGACTAGAATTTTTTACAATTATTGGAA